CACCTAGTTATTATGTTATTCTCTTCACCTAGTTATTATGTTATTCTCTTCACCTAGTTATTATGTTATTCTCTTCACCTAGTTATTATGTTATTCTCTTCACCTAGTTATTATGTTATTCTCTTCACCTAGTTATTATGTTATTCTCTTCACCTAGTTATTATGTTATTCTCTTCACCTAGTTATTATGTTATTCTCTGCACCTAGTTATTATGTTATTCTCTTCACCTAGTTATTATGTTATTCTCTGCACCTAGTTATTATGTTATTCTCTGCACCTAGTTATTATGTTATTCTCTTCACCTAGTTATTATGTTCTTCTCTGCACCTAGTTATTATGTTATTCTCTGCACCTAGTTATTATGTTATTCTCTTCATCTAGTTATTATGTTATTCTCTGCACCTAGTTATTATGTTATTCTCTTCACCTAGTTATTATGTTATTCTCTGCACCTAGTTATTATGTTATTCTCTTCACCTAGTTATTATGTTATTCTCTGCACCTAGTTATTATGTTATTCTCTGCACCTAGTTATTATGTTATTCTCTTCACCTAGTTATTATGTTCTTCTCTGCACCTAGTTATTATGTTATTCTCTGCACCTAGTTATTATGTTATTCTCTTCATCTAGTTATTATGTTATTCTCTGCACCTAGTTATTATGTTATTCTCTTCACCTAGTTATTATGTTATTCTCTGCACCTAGTTATTATGTTATTCTCTGCACCTAGTTATTATGTTATTCTCTGCACCTAGTTATTATGTTATTCTCTGCACCTAGTTATTATGTTATTCTCTGCACCTAGTTATTATGTTATTCTCTGCACCTAGTTATTATGTTATTCTCTGCACCTAGTTATTATGTTATTCTCTGCACCTAGTTATTATGTTATTCTCTGCACCTAGTTATTATGTTATTCTCTGCACCTAGTTATTATGTTATTCTCTGCACCTAGTTATTATGTTATTCTCTGCACCTAGTTATTATGTTATTCTCTGCACCTAGTTATTATGTTATTCTCTGCACCTAGTTATTATGTTATTCTCTGCACCTAGTTATTATGTTATTCTCTGCACCTAGTTATTATGTTATTCTCTGCACCTAGTTATTATGTTATTCTCTGCACCTAGTTATTATGTTATTCTCTGCACCTAGTTATTATGTTATTCTCTGCACCTAGTTATTATGTTATTCTCTGCACCTAGTTATTATGTTATTCTCTGCACCTAGTTATTATGTTATTCTCTGCACCTAGTTATTATGTTATTCTCTGCACCTAGTTATTATGTTATTCTCTGCACCTAGTTATTATGTTATTCTCTGCACCTAGTTATTATGTTATTCTCTGCACCTAGTTATTATGTTATTCTCTGCACCTAGTTATTATGTTATTCTCTGCACCTAGTTATTATGTTATTCTCTGCACCTAGTTATTATGTTATTCTCTTCACCTAGTTATTATGTTATTCTCTTCACCTAGTTATTATGTTATTCTCTTCACCTAGTTATTATGTTATTCTCTTCACCTAGTTATTATGTTATTCTCTTCACCTAGTTATTATGTTATTCTCTGCACCTAGTTATTATGTTATTCTCTGCACCTAGTTATTATGTTATTCTCTGCACCTAGTTATTATGTTATTCTCTTCACCTAGTTATTATGTTATTCTCTGCACCTAGTTATTATGTTATTCTCTTCACCTAGTTATTATGTTATTCTCTGCACCTAGTTATTATGTTATTCTCTGCACCTAGTTATTATGTTATTCTCTGCACCTAGTTATTATGTTATTCTCTTCAACTAGTTATTATGTTATTCTCTTCACCTAGTTATTATGTTATTCTCTGCACCTAGTTATTATGTTATTCTCTGCACCTAGTTATTATGTTATTCTCTGCACCTAGTTAATATGTTATTCTCTGCACCTAGTTATTATGTTATTCTCTGCACCTAGTTATTATGTTATTCTCTGCACCTAGTTATTATGTTATTCTCTTCACCTAGTTATTATGTTATTCTCTGCACCTAGTTATTATGTTATTCTCTGCACCTAGTTATTATGTTATTCTCTGCACCTAGTTATTATGTTATTCTTAGGCATGTGGGATTTGTTTTTTTTTAAAGTCTGGCTTGGCGCAAGTGACTCAAACAAAGAAGGCACTTTTGTCTGGACAGAATCAAACGCGAGCCTTTCAAAAACTGACCACGGGTGGTATAAGACTCAACCTGATGACCACGGTGGCGAAGATTGCGTCGAGCTATTTCGTAGTCCATATTTAGGGATGAACGATGCTTCATGTAGAAAGGCAAATCCACCGCTGTGTGAAATAGGTGAGTTGATTGATGTGTGTAAATATCAGAACTCTATGAGAATAGGTGAGGTAATTGATTTGTCTGAAAATCATAAATTTGTGAAATAGGTGAGTTTATTGCTACGTCAAAATATCAAAGCTCTGTGAAATAGGTGAGTTTATTGACATGTCTAAACATCTTAACTTTGTGAAATAGTCTGATCCAGTCTCAACTCCGTTGGGCAAGGCAAGTACCCACGTGTGGAAGACAGCCGGCGCCCTCAAAAGCCATTCGTCGGTGAATTCAACGCTAGGCAAGCGCTTCGGAGGAGATCAAAGAAAGCGTTACAAGGACACACTGAAAACGGCAAGAAAGAAGTTCCGCATCAACCCTACTGAATGGGTTCAGACAGCCCCGGACAGAGCCAAGTGGAGATCAGATGTCAAGAATGGGGCTCAATCTCATGAAGCCAGAAGGACAGCGACAGCTGAGTCACGCAGGCTAGCCCAGGAACAAGCAACATTAGACTACCGACTACAGCATCTATCCAATGCCCGCGGTGCCAGGGACTTCTCCGAGAAAGCCGCCTTGGCACACATCGTGACCCACCCCCACCTCTAACTGTATGACTAGATGGTCTTTGGCGATTCTGACGGACGAACAACATATAAATGTATATCTATATGATACATTTCGCAATGGTACTTTTGTTTAAAAGAGTTAAACTACGACAATTTGGTACTAGTAGCGTGGTCTAATATCGAAGAAAAAGACCACGAGCATAAACTTTTCAATATATTACTTACTTAAACTTTGAGTGAATGTGTTTCATTGATTGCAATAAGTTACAGAGTTTTAAAAACTGCGGGGATAATTTGAAAAGCTAACCAAAAAAAAATGTGTTTTTAAAGCATATTTACTAGTACATAAGCGAATGAATTCTGAAAAAGATTAAGATAAACGATTAAGATATACCGGGTCATCATTAAAATGATAATTAAAAAAAAAATTTTGTTTATGTGTGGTAATTTTTTTTACATTTAGATCTTCAATTTATAACAACTTGTTAACTGAATTAATTGTAGAGGAGAAAAAGTCCCCATTATATTTTTACCAGATTTCTTTTTTTTTTTTGGCTCGATTTTTCTTAATATAACAAATGTCTTTCATTTAGCTATAATCTCTGGGAATGTTGTTTCCGATCCGTGCTACCCGTGGAAAAATGCATTGTTTAGAAACGGAACCTGCTTGACGATGTTTACAACCCCGCTGTCTTGGAATAATTCAAAGGTAGCAAAGTGATCAAAAAATATTTGAAAAAAAAAAGGAATTTCAAACAAAATATCTAAATTAAATGAACATGGCTGGACAAGTTTTAATATTTACTGGTCGTAGAGTTTTGTTATTTAAATTATTCTAACATATCCTATAAAAATAAAATCGAATGATTATGTATATTCAGGCGTTTTACAAAATCACCAACAATTACTTCAACGCTGTGCATTGTAATTAAAAAAAAAAGATTTTTTTAGCTTGTGTGTTGACCTAGTTATATTCACAATTCTTGCGTGAAGCCATTTTGAGCAATGCTTGTCTGACCCCCAGTCCCCACCCTTATTTTTATTTCTAATGTAACCAATCAATTTGGTGATACGAGCAGCCCCCTCCAAATCACCCTTGATTGGGGAAGCTTGTTTGTGTTTCTCAGAAGGGTCAAAACAAAGAGAGAGAAAAATACATTGTTAGACTATCGGTTCTGGAGGACTATAAAATAATTTAAGATATCTAATTTGTAAAACTATGTAACGGTACGTCACAGGGCTGTTTAATTCTTGCAGTCATTCTGTAGAGACGTGAATGACGAGGATTTGAACTTTCACCTGACAGAGCTCTTCACTGAGGAACAGAAAGCTGGAGCTCAAAGCATTGGCACTGAAATGAACATTTCCAGCTGTGGGTAGACAGTGTATACGCATTTTTAAAATAATCTTTAAACCTATTGATACAAGTGATTCTTACAATCTTAAAGAAATAAATAGAGCTTTAAAAGCCTAGTAGGATACTATTTAATGTTTTTTGTAATGAATTAGGTTTACATTTTTTTTTTGAGATGACTTAAGTATTTATAGGGAGTGTCAATGTTACAAAACGTATTCCAATTGACTGTGCAGGAATGTTAATGAAACTTAAATGATAATGTAATGCCATTTTTTAACGCATTCGGGAGTACATCTCCGTCTTGGCATTAAAATTTTGTCTTTTCTTAGATGGATTTTAAAACAAGGTTAACGATTCTCATCCACTCTTTGACACTGCACTTATTTCGGTTTTTTTTCCCTTTGTATTGATTTCCGATCCACAAGATTGGATTGACCGCAAAGCCATCCAGCCACCCAATAAATAAAATTGTTGTTAAAACATACAACTAAATCCAGATGAGTAAAAGATGTTAAAAATACTTGCTAGAGAAAGGCCTTCGAGGAAATCAAGAGATGACGAGCGCTACACGGATTTTATTTGTAATGAGCTGTCTTAAATTATTTGTTTCTTCTTAATTTTGCTTTTTTAAAAAATATAAAAAAATAGACTGGACCGGTGGGAGAGCTAATCAGAATGGGACGCAACTCAGTTTTGTGTGGGATACAACGCCGGATCAATCAATTCCAGCCAACCTGTGGGAGGACGGTCAGCCCAATAATCAATACGGCACACAGGACTGTGTGTGCATGATGACTTCGGGGCTGCTCAATGATAAGGAATGTAACAGGACACGTGCTTTCGTGTGTGAGAAAAGTAAGTCTTTCTCAAAAAGCTAACAGACCTTTAGTTTTTAAAAAAGAAATCAGCAAAAAAAAACCAAAAAAAAAACCAACAACTTTATTTCAACACAGACACAACACATGCACACACAAGCCTAGAAATCTGTAGTAACATCACTTCAACTCCCGTAGCCTGAACGCATCATGCGTACGTGCTATTGTCAACAATGCAAAGTTCCGGTCGCAACATGTACCCAGGAATGAAAAGGAAGATATGTAGGGTAGTCTTTGCCGGAGAGGGGGAATCTCGACCCTGGGGGATGGGGGCGGGGCAAGAATGATTCTTAGTTGACCATGAAGCCTGGTCAACCAGTGAAGTGTTTCAATACACGAGTATACAAACACGTGTTCTCAAGGAGATGTTGCACGCACCTCTGCTTAATCTAAGATGATCTTCAATAAAACTGAATACCAGTGATACGCCCATTTACCAATACTTCGTGAACATGGATGCATTTGAGTGACAAATGCTGGGTGGTGGATTACAATTTACAATGTTTGATGTGCAAACCAGAAAAACGTATTGTTCAACTTTATAATTTTTTTCTTTGGTATTGGAGGTTTCAGATTTTAAAAAAAGAAATGTCATCTTTACATCAACCCCCAACCACCCCTCCACAAAAAAAATAAATTGTTACTCCTGTTTTTCAAAGGGGAAGATGAAGGAAATATATGAAACTGAAATCACGAATTAAAATTCCCGATAACTGCGCTAAATGATATTATTTTTTTTTAAAATCGCTAGTGCGTTTGGTGCGTCATATTTTCTTTTGATTTTCTGAAAAAAACGTTGGTGAAATAAGTTGGCGGTTTTAAAGCTGGTGGGACATTAGAATATTAATACAGTTCAGGTGCGTAAAAAATTTTTGCGGTTGCGAGGCCATGGCCGGGGGTGGGAAGGGGGGGGGTTGGAGCACTAGATGCGATTCTTATAAAGTGCGTTACATTCATTCATGTTTTGTCCGATGTTCAGATCCAACCCCCCCCCCACATTGCTGGATATTACATTTTATAATGATTTCTTGGGAACACTTTCAAGATGCGGGAGCTTCGGTGCAAGTTATTTTGATGCTTTCTTTGTGTTAGTGTAAACACATTAAGTCCATTTTGTGTTATTGGAACGCTAGTAGATCGTTATTTTAAAAAGTGAAAAGATCGACATTTCATTCATGCTTCTTAGCAAAAAAAAAATAATTTCCAAAATGATTTTGAAATGATCAGGATTATTTCCAAACATATGAATGTGATGGTGCACTAAACGATGATGATTATTTCCTAAAAGATGAGTGTAATAGTGCACTATATGATCATGATTATTTTCCAACAGATGAATGTTATGGTGCACAGTGGACGTCAAACAGAACGTGCTTGTATATAAACTTTACCAAGAAAAATATGTCTACTGCACAGGTGAGATCAAAATCAAAGGCATTAAACATGAGAGTGTGTATGAAAAATGTAATCGTATGAGAAACGTCTGACTGCAGCATGGAGACGTATTTGTTCTTCCACTATAGGTGTATGTCGGGGGTTTTGTGGGGTGTGGGTGTGGGTAGCGCATTAAAATTTAAAGGTGCTGGGGGGGGCGCTGTTTAAGGGTGTTTGGGGGCAAAAAAGTTTGTGAAACAGTCCACAAACTCCACATTTTCGGAAAAAAAGTTGTACTCTACTTGTGAATTGTTCTAGTGCAACAGTTTGGATTAGGAAGAGAAGTTAATCTATTTTTTAATAGATTAATTAATTTTCATATAACTGAGTTTGATGAAATGGCCTTAAAATTCCATCAGAATTTATATCCAAAACTTATGGAGTTAATTTTTGTACATACACGTTTTTATACGTTTGTTTATTAAAAAAATGCATCGCTGTTATATAGTTGTACACAATTTATTGAAAACTAAACAAATAAATATGCGTCATTTCATTAAGAATGTGTGCCAGTCCTCGGGAGACAAACTTGCCGAACTGACGACAGCTGAAAAATTTCAAGTCTTGAGCAATTGGCTGAAAGGAAATGCCACTGAATGTAAGTGTTAAAAAAAAAACAAAGCAACATTTTCTAATACAATCTCTACTCTAACATCGGTATTTATACCTAGGCAATTTTCTATTTTTCCTGGTATTCGTCTCTCACAATGTGAGGATGGTGTAGACTTCGCTGGACCAAAGCCAAAAGGTCTGGTTGTTTTTGTTTTTTAATAGTTTAGCTGGTTCCCACACAGCTAATCGCCTCTCTCCACGCCACTGGATAACCCAAGAGAAGATCATGTGGATGATACAGCTCGGACACCAGCGGCTTCGCAGAGGTAATCGAAATGTTACATTGTGGCAATGGAATCCGCCTACGAGACCTCATCTTCGGGTTTGCCTACCCTTAGATGGGGATGTTCTTGCTTGACTTGGCTTTGGTGGGGCATGAGCTCGAGACCATGAACCCTGAGACTGACTCAGTCTAGAACATCGGCCACCCAGCACTTGGTACTTGGTGCCTATGTAATTAAGTTTTGATAATGACGATAATGTATCTCAATGAGTTTGCATTGATGCTAATAGTGTGTGGGATATTTATGTTTAATTTATTGCCATTGTCCTATTTTAAAGGAAAAAATATATTTCTTTTTTCACTAAAGCTAATAATCATTCATGATCTCTTTTGGCCTCGCTATGGTGAACAGGATTTATCTTTTGAAATTTCATTCCTTTTAAATTGACAGAAAACATGTGATTACTTTACCAGTCCCGCCAAACATGGGCGACAGCAATGCGTGGACTTCCCATCTATTAAAGTTACTTGAAAAATAAAAATGAACTCAAGAAAAACACATTTAAGAATCCCAAATTTTGCTGCACCCCTTTCCACCATGATACGCCACTGAACACTTTTCATTTCACGCCCATGAACTATATTAAATATTCTGATGTCGCAACCACTTTTAAACCGATTTTTTCTTTACACAATCATAAAATTGAGAGGATTTCATTTTTCGAAAAGAAAATATTACGTACTAAACTACTAAACGCAGCTGCTTTATTTCAAATATATATATATATATATTATTTAGAGTTGTTAAATTGTATGCGCTGGTGAATTCATGATTGAACAACACTTGATTTCAAACATATATAACTATTTTTAATCTACTCTGAAAACCAAGTACGCTAAATAGGAAGCAGCCAGAAATGGAAGCAGTAGCAGTCCACGAGTCACATCAAAAGCGTCATAAATATTGGAGATGCATGTTAGAGTTACCCGCATTCTCAGAATTTTTGTTGGATGTAAGCATGTCAGTAAGCTTATATTGGTATTTATTAATTTTCTTTCTGAAAAGATTTGATTGGGGCTTACTACCTAGAAGGTTCATTTGTGTGGAATGTAAGTAGACTTCCGATTCGTCTCAACTGGTGGAAAAACAAGGGAAACGACAGTCTAAGTGGAGACTGCGTGGCAATGGATTCTGCAGTTGGGAAACTGGATGCTACAGCATGCGACATTAAGAAACCATTTGTCTGTCAAGGAGGTAATACAACCATTTGTATGTCAAAGAGGTAATAAATGCTGCAAAGGGTAAATGGATGGACCAATGACTTGGCACCATGTCGTTAGCGTGGTGTACATGTTTCTTTCAGAAATTTTGCCCCTGAGAGGCACTTCCGATTTTTGGGGAGGGGGGGGCACTTCAGATTTTTCAGTGCCAGCATTTCCAGTTGATTTATTTTGGACATATTTTTGCTCCGGGGGGGGGGGGGGTGGGGGGCCCTTGGTTTTCCCCTGTGGTGCAGCAAATGTGTAATTTTTTAAAATTATTTTTCAACACCAGATTTTAACATTTAATTGTATTTGCATATGTGTCCGGTGACATTAGAGGAATAGGTTTTTTCATTGTTTGAATCATTGCTTAAGGATTCTAAACAGTACTTAGTATGGAAGCGTAGTCCCATTAAAATTTGAATGTGGACCACCTCGAGTAAATTTAAGTGCAATTTCCGATTGATTTTTATTTTTAAAAAATGATTCACATTCCGACCTTAAGTTTAACATAGCCAAAGGGATCATCGTAATTACTGTTGATGTTAATACATTTGTGGTTGAGATGTTTGACCCCCTCCCAACCTCTTCCGCACCCCCACCCCCACTCCACAAAAAATGTGCATACACCTTCACATTTTAAAAGAAAAAGATCAGGTGACTTGGCAGGGGGGAGGGAGGGGTAAGCATGTTCTGAGGAACAACAACCGTCTTAATTTCGGATCCCACCGGACTACGGGATCTAGCCGGCATCCGATTTTACTTGAAGGGATGAACGGCCATAGCTTTGATATTATTTCTTTTAACGGAATAGCTTTCAAAAGTTTTATTGTATTTAAAATATCTTGGTTTTGACGGCGCCCAGGTTGACAATAAAATGGAACTGACAAGGCCAAAGAATTTTTCAAAATTTTATTTAAAGTTGCGTTATTATTGTGTCTGTGACAAACTTCAGAAACAATTTTAATTATATATATATATATATATATATATATACATATTTATTAGTAATCTTACACCTTTCCATAACGTAGGAATCCATGCTATGACATCCTTCCTGGTACCTTGTATGCCTCTGAGTATCGCTTTAAAACAATAAAAGAGAACTGACAAGGCCAAAGAATTTTTCAAAATTTTATATAAAGTTGCGTTATTACTGTGTCTGTGACAAACTTCAGAAACAATTTTAATTATATATATATATATATATATATATATACATATTTATTAGTAATCTTACACCTTTCCAGAACGTAGGAATCCATGCGATGACATCCTTCCTGGTACCTTGTATGCCTCTGAGTATTGCTTTAAATACTACGACATGATTATGACCTGGCAAGCAGCGCAGGTAGGACCCCCCCCCACCCCAACACACATTGACACGTAACAGTCTTGGGCAGTTAACGCCACCCTTTACTCGCACTCACGCACACACCCGCACTCACACACACACACACACTTACACATACGCACACTCAAAAACACACTCAGCCTCACTCTCACACACACTTACACGCGCACACACACCGATGTGACTATTTGTATTCTTCTCTTCAGGCCTACTGTCTCCGTGAGGGTTCTCATCTTGCAGAGCCGACGACAGCAGAGATGGAGGATACCATAAGGATGTACATAGCAAAACTTGAGAATGGCACTTCGTCTACACCTACATTACGTATGTTAAATATATACTTTAAATATGCTTGGTTTAATTTCCAATAAGTCTACCGTATATTTGTTGCAGGACTTTAAAGACAAATAAAGATATTGATGACTCCTGAGAAATGACTCACAATTGAACGCTAATTCGGCTATGCCATACACAATGATGAAAGCAATTTTTATAAAGTTTATTTTGCCATCATGTTATACTTAATTTTTTATTTAAAAAAAGAACATAATGAGGAGCATGTAAGACATTCACTTTAAATGTTTTACTCTAATAATATACACATATTTCAAGAACAATTATCATTAAAAGTCTGGATAGGGGGCACCTATGATAAGGCATCGGATAGCTTCTCCTGGGCAACAACTGGTGACCCAATCGAGGACACGAACTTAAACAAGTTGATCGGTGGTGAGGAGAAGGAAAACGTGGTGTGGAAGAACTTCGGGTTAAACTTTCAATGGGAGAACAGGCCAGGGGATGAGCTCCACGGATTCGTCTGTCAAACTGGTAGGAGTCGATGACACGTCTGTCAAACTGATAGGAGTCGATTACACATGAACTGTTTTGGAAATAAATCAAATGAACATTGCTGAGGTTAAATTTACGACATGCATTTCAATATATATTTGATGTTATCATCATCCACATCAATAAGAAATTAGGTAACATTTTATATTCTTAAATGATTTATCTGCATTGTTAAAAGATGTGTCAACGTGTAAATCAATTCAAATAGTGTTGATAAAGTTAAATACAAATGAACTCGACGCCATTTTTCCCAGCCGCAGTTTTTGACGATACTCAACAGTACGCGGCTGTACTGCCAAAGATGTCACATGGCGGTTCATCCGAGGGCCACCTTCAAGTGACAGCCGGCTACAGCTTCGTTGTTTACGTCACATTTGAGGCGTATATTGACGGCGTTGCTAAAAATAGAACCATATTTCCATTGGCTCCGAAACGTGACGTGCAGTGTGACTTGGACCAACTTCTGACACTTCCTTACACCGGTAACTATGAGAATGGCACTGTGTCTCGTAGCTGAGGGTCGTAGGGCAATGGATAAGCTAATCATGTAAGGCTCAGGGGAAAGAACTGATGAATTGACTCCTTTTAAAACAATTATCAATTCTGTTGAAAAATGTATACAAAGCTAAAAGAAAGGGATGTCACATATGTCTGGGTCGGGCGACAGAACATAGCTCCATTGTTATTCAGCAAACATAGATGGTGGGCGGAAATTGTTAGGATTTTGTGAAGCGCTGTCTTATGAAATTATGGTTCATAGATTCTCGCATCTCTAGATAGAGGGGGTTGGGAGTTCTTTCTACAATCTTACATTCCGTACCATCAAGACTTAGCATGATAATTTTTGTTCAAGCGACTGAAATTTCTAATTCAAAGGAAATGGAGAGGCATGTTTTTTGTGTGTTTTTTTATAGATGGCATTCCTGGACCACCTATGCAGGTAGACAATGGTCTTTACGATAGAGCTCTTCTAGTCATAAACAGTAGAATTAGAGATTCATGGAAAGCAGATCTGAAGTGACAGACGTAGTTTTAGTAGTCGTAGTCCAAGATAGACCTAGAGATAGACAAGAGACCTAGATAGATAGACCAATAGACCTAGAGATAAACAGTTAGTCAAGTGTTAGATTTAGGAAAGCGCTCATACTGGATTTGTTAAACAGTATTCATAAATATAATATCTTTTCTGTACATTGTTGAGGAGTTGTTTATTTATGTATGTGTGTTCTGCCATTTTTTCTTGGTCCATTCCAACGCCCGGAATAGTGAACCATCAAAGAGCATAGCGGCCCTCAATTAGTCATAAATTACACAAATACCGATAACAATTAATACCAATAATTAATTTATTATTAATTCTTGTTCTACTAATTTAAGTTCTGTATTCACGTTCAAGGCTTTAGACATGACACAATTTGATACATCAATTTACTGCACATTTCCTCAGATGTTTCCTCAAGTCACGTACTGATTCAGTCCAACCAACCTGTCACCGTTATCTTGTACATAACAGATCCATCAATGGACCAATCCAGCTCAACTCTCATCTTCCCCGTAAGCATCTACCAGGCACTGGAAGCAGAGCAATCCTATGTTCTATTTTCAGTCTTCAAGGAACAACCAGGTAATGCTAATTTATTTTAAATTCATAACTCGTGGATAAGGTGGAAAATAGTTCATGCTTAGTTGATTAACTTGGCTATATTATTTGATACTATTTGTTCAAGACTCTAGCCGTTAACTACACAATATCATATTTATTCGTTAAACTGATTTATTAATCTGTATTTCATCAGCATATGCTAGTAAAAGATCTCATTTTATTTCATTGATTGTGTTTTCCATAGTCACAGTTACAATTATGCAACAAAAAGATGTAGCGTCTAAGTAAGTGAATGGATAATTTTATTTAGGTTTAACAGATACTATCATAACAGACGTATTTATCTAATCAACAGACAACATGCTCAGTGTAGTTGCCATGACGAGTCTTCAAACGGACGTCCTTCTACTCAACAACAATCAAAATGTTCCCAAACCTTCCTTCGCCATAGGAAGTGTACACTTCATGTGGGTCCCATTATTAAGGTTTTAGATTATAATAGTATCCCATACAAAGGTAAACATTTCAAAGAAACTGTACATTCAAATAACTGGACACAGCATGAACCTGCATATTATGAGAAAGTGAATGCATGTATATATCTAATGTTTAAGTAGTATGATGGACGTTTTTAAACATCTCCAGTGTGACAATATTGTTAAGAAATGAAACAAAATGAGCAGCTCTGTATCAGTCAAAATATATATACATAATATGAATATTTCACAAGTGCAAAGAAAGGTATAATGTAATGTTCATATTCAGTTATAGATATTTGGAGCATAAAATACTTACATTTTGAACATTAGTTTAGTGATTTAAATCTCTGTTGCCAGGAATCTCATCTCTGTCGAAGCTACTCTCAAATCCCTGTATGACGTCATGACGTCCAGCATGAGAGTTGACCTCGACGGTGCCTTTTTGAATGCAAGTCAACCCGTGGCTGTCTTTCTAGGAAGTCTTGCGGTTTGTCTCGTAAACTATTTTAGCATTATATTTAAGCCGGTGGTTGTGTAGGCAGGGGGGGCGCCCTACCATGACGAGAGATGGGAAAAGCTTAATCCATCCAACCTCATTTTGATGAGAGCCTAATGATGACTTGGGATGAAGGTTCAAAATTAAAGCTTATTAAAAAAAAAGAAAAGAAAAGGTGGGGGGGGGGGGAAGAAATAAAAGAAAATGTACCCTGAAAAATCCATATTACATAGAACTTAATGCCCCGGAGGTGGGTGGACATTGTTTTAAAAGAGAAAAAAAAAAGCGTAAAAAAAAAAAAAAAAAGAAAAGGGGGGGGGGGGGGGAAGAAATAAAAGAAAATGTACCCTGAAAAATCCATATTACATAGGACTTAATGCCCCGGAGGTGGGTGGACATTGTTTTCAGCTAGTATACCAAAATACAACTGTTGACGCCGTGGTAATCTCCCTTGATCTAAATAATCACCTCTTGAATTTCAAAATGTTTAATTGAATCTATTTATTCAATCAGATAATACATTTATTATATAAAAAAAGGTATAACATGAATTTGGAAAATCAACCGATGAAATTATCAAAAAAATCTTAATGGTGAAGCTAAAATGGCGATAGGGGGAAAAAAATGAGTATTCAAGAAAAGATGTGATTTTATGCTGTCCGCCTAACCACGTCTAACGACGCTGTGCTGGACTAACCACATCTAACGACGCTGTGCTGGACTAACCACGGCTAACGACGCTGTACTGGACTAACCACGGCTAACGACGCTGTGCTGGACTAACCACGTCTAACGACGCTGTGCTGGACTAACCACGTCTAACGACGCTGTGCTGGACTAACCATGGCTAACGACACTGTGCTGGACTAACCACGTCTAACGACGCTGTGCTGGACTAACCACGTCTAACGACGCTGTGCTGGACTAACCACGTCTAACGACGCTGTGCTGGACTAACCACGTCTAACGACGCTGTGCTGGACTAACCACGGCTAACGACGCTGTGCTGGATGCGTTTATCTATCACTCCGGCTTAGAAGCGGTGATGACAGGACACACTTTCTTGCCCTTTGTATTTCTTTAAAATTATGTCTACTGAGCCATTACTAATGCCACTGTTTTCATCTTAACCCCATTTGAGTAACTTTACTTTAGCTCGTCATATTTGAAACATCTTATACAAATCGAAAACATGGCAAATGGAAAATGTTTGCTGTACAAGCAAAATACAAAAAATGCCATTTTAATTAAATTCACGCTTTTTAATAATGTAACAAGATGATAAAAACATTATTTCAAATTTGGTCGAAATGTAACACTTGTAATAAAACGTTGTCCACTGCAGCAGATACTTGATGGGTCCATCTCACACGATGCCACCATGGACCAGATACTGCCACTGCCATACGTTGGTGACGAGTACTTCGTATTCCCATCAGATTCAATGACTTCCAAAACATCAGATATAATTAAATGCGTTGCCCTTCATGATTGGACTGGCCTCGATGTAAGTAATGAAATAGAAATATATATATATAAGAAAATTTTGAAAGTAACTTTAAACATCCTCTCTAAACATTTTATATATATTTATGTCAATATATAACATTAAGGTAGATGGATAGACAGACAGACATATGGAAAGATATTTCGTATATATGTATATATATATATAAAAATATATATTTATATATATATATATAAATAAATATATATATATATATATATTTATATATATATAGAGATGATAGATAGATAGATAGATAGATAGATAGATAGATAGATAGATAGATAGATAGATAGATAGATAGATAGATAGATAGATAGATAGATAGATAGATAGATAGATAGATAGATAGATAGATAGATAGATAGATAGATAGATAGATAGATAGATATATAGATAGATAGATAGATAGATAGATAGATAGATAGATAGATAGATAGATAGATAGATAGATAGATAGGTAGGTACAACGACATATATATAAATATGTAGATTTAGATATTCCCTCTATAATTAAAATACAATTTTAATTAATATTATTATTAAAGATATTTACTAACAAGTCTGTGGTATTTATTTTATTAAAAAAATAGCCCCGCCTTAAGATTATGTCAATTGTTTCAATTGAATTTTTATTCAATATTTCAAACAAACAAAAAAATAAAGATTTTTAAAGATCCTGGTGTCGAACATATTGTAATGAAGTCTGCAGGCGATGTGGTTGAAATTCCTCTGAACACTCAAAACTTCCTTTTTGTGCAAGGAAATGCAACCTTCTACGCGATCAAAATCAATTCAAAAAAATCAGGTAATTATGCTCATTAAGTATCAGCGTAATTAGCCTATACTTAGAAAAACCTCACATTTCAAAGGCTGTAATCAGATTAAGTCTTTGTTATAAGCTTTCCAAATGTGCCTATATGGGCTTAGACTAAAGAATGTGCCATGGTATCTTTAAAATGTTGCACTACGCTACTGTCAACTTTTATTACAATTATTAGTTTTAAAAAAAAATGAAATACTTAGTTACGCCCCCCCCCCTTATCCCAACCCTTCAAAAATAATAAATTAAATATTTAGTTACCCCTACACAAATACCGATAATAATTGATACCATTAATTTATTATTAATTCCCAACCCTTCAAAAATAATAAATGAAATATTTAGTTACCCCACCCCTTTATCCTAACCCGTCAAAAAATAAATTTAAACAATTGAAATAAACTTGAAAGCCATTCTAAAATTAAATGAGATATTACGGTGCCTGAAACCTAACAATATCCAATAAATCTTTCCTCAGTTTTATTCGTTTAAAGTAAATTATTTCTTTATTTTTCATTTATGTATTTTTATTGAACAGCCAACCAACTGTATGTTGAAATTATTAACTGATTCGTTCAAGCAAGTAATCAACAGTTCTATTTTTGTTTCTTATTTTCGAATCCAAAGTATGTTAAACTAATGTAGGCCTCAGCCTTGAGTAATGGTAACTTAAATTATCGACAGGATCATCTCAACTGTCGTGCATGTCATCCATCCTACCATCAAACGCCTGGAGACATCAATACGATCTCGTTGTTAACCCCATGCTGCGGTCCTTCAGGGTGATTATCTACCTGGTCGTCGAGACAAGCTTAACAGATTTCGTGGAGATTAACAACGCACAGAAGCCGTCCTCATTTACATGTACAGAAATAAAAGGTAACGAAGAGCTACCCAATAACAAGACATGCAAATCACGATCATTGAAATTCGTAGGGCAGTAAGAGCTCACGCTCGATGGCCCGCCTACGCCATTTCCCAATGTAACTTAGTTCAAATATGTTAGTTAAAACTGTAAACTAATTTGTTAAAACCCACAGAGATTTATAAATGCATGTTAAAACTTATGTTGATGTAAAAATAAGGTCCTTATCTGCTAACATTCTAGGAATCATCACATATTCAAACAAGGAACATACGACTGTAAACGATAAAGTGCACTGGCTTTTATTATGTGCTGGCTTTTATTATTACAAGATTTAGACTCTTGTTAAGTTAGTGTCGTCAATAGCGCTTGGGTGATAGTAAGGTATTCCATGGACGATATCCAAAAAGCATTTTTTTCTGTTTGAAAACATTTAATACATAAGCGCGTTCCTAGCAAACTGAAATTATTGTTTAAAGAAAATTAAAAACATACATTTAAAAAAAAAACTCCGATTGGGTGATTAATTTGTCACATTGGACAGATTGTTTGAACTTGAAACAGGGATGTTTGTCTCGATTCTTTATAGGGGTTCTCAAAAGTTTGCCCTTGCAAAATCTTTGGCCATCTTTAGATTCTATGCATATTGTTTGAAATATTAATTGACCAATTGATGATGTTGTGTAATGGTAATAATCTATTTAACTTTCTATTAGCTACTTATGGTTTATAATTTTTTGTTTACCTTCCATGTTTTGTTTGTTCTGTTGGCGAAAGAAGGCGTTTTACCGATACGTTCCTTGTTTTGGTCAGTATATTCTTAACTTAGCCAATCCTTGTGCTGAACATGTTCTAAGATCCAGCTTCATTCTCTGTCAATTCTATACGTTCAAACAGTGAAAAAAAAAATAAAACGAAAAACCTACTTAGATACAATACAAGTTAATGTTCGTTCTCTTTTTCAATTTTCCTACATACTTCCTAAAATTAATTGGATATATTTAGAAACAAACCACGTGTAATAAGTTAAAGTTTTTTTTTATATTTAAAATGTGAAATCTTTTTAGGTTCGTCCTACTCCGGCTGTAACTACCTGATAGACTCAACTACACAAACCTACTATCACATTGGACTTGGCAACAAAAACAACAAGTTCGGTGCCTACATGTACGCCACCAACACACGTTCAGCGATGTGTCATCCATTGGGTATCTCTGACACAATCCAACCTTCTACAGTAATTGCTTTTTAAAAAAAAAAATTTCTAGCGTACCGCTATATTGTGTATAGAGAGTTCAATCTCTTATTTGACATTATGGCTCGTGACAAACAGTACATAACAAAGGACGATACCATTAGTTAATTACAGTAATGAAGAAATGATACCCACGCTGGCTTATTTATAGTCTGTCATAGAGACTTTTCCAGAAAGGAGTTACGCATCGGTTTCTGTATCTCGTTCTGTGTCATATGTTCTAAAGCAGGCCTGCACAAAATACGGCCCGTTTGCCGCATGCGGCCCGTCAGCACCCAATTTGCGGCCCGCGAAGTAACAAAATATTCTTTATTCTTGTCATTTTCTGAATAGCTTTTCCCAAGCCCTGTTTTTTTTGGTGTTTTTTTTGGCCCGCTCAAATTTTTACGGCCCTCCTTACATTTTGCGATGTGCAGGCCCGTTCAAAAGAATTCTAATTCTAAAGGATATAGACTATGTTTACAGGTAGTCAGGGTCAAGGGAGACATTTTTGAAATCAAACTACACCCATTGTTGTGTGAACTTGGGGTCACCCAGAGTTCATGCACGGGTTTCAAGGTGTAAAAAGTCGTCTCACACAAATATATATTGCACTATGATAGTTCGGAGAGCGTCTATAAAAGTTCGTCTTAGTTTATCTATTTTTTTTAATTCAGTAAAAAAACAAACCCTTAAATACTAGTTTTCAAAATAAAAAGCTAATTCTTAGTATTGTTTGGATGACGTATTAGGATAACTTATGGATTTGATATAAATTATGGATCAATTTAAAATTATTTCACTTTGAATCATGAACTATGAAACATAGACCATGTCAGCCTAAGTCTTTTAAAATAAATATATAGGCATGAATATTATTTTAACTATTTTAACAAAACCAATATTTTAAAGAAAAAGGAATCACAAAATTTAAAAACAATTTAAAGTATGCCTTCTAATTTTATACCATTTCATAATATATCATTTCAACTTACTGCAAAATTCATAATCATCACATATTATGCGTTCTTTTAGGACGCCAACTACACTGACGTGAAAGCCTATTCGGAAAAACTTGTGAGAGCACAAGATCCGGAGCCACAAACCACGTGTGGCCCTGACATCACCACATCCGATGCCGCCACCAGCCAGGTGACACACGAAGCCACTCATCCAACGACTGAGAACCTCCTGAACACGACGCTGGCACGGGAGGCAACGACCCCGCTGAACTCTGAATTTACAACTGTAGACGTCACAGCTGCAAAAAACAATCCGGACAGCTCTACCGAAGATGTTATTTCAGTCAGCCGATCCACGTATTCGGCAAAGGTGACGAGACAGTCACAAATGGAGACGGTGGAGCACTTGATCAGCGAGATCACCAAAACACTTCACATCGACGCTCAAAACACGTCTTCATATAGAAGGACCAAGATTTCAGTCCCTGACGGACGAACTTCTGCTACCGTCACCGGCACGTTTGGCATCGCCATCCTTTTTGGCGTCTTCTCCCTCATTTGTTTCGGCGACGTGAGATATTTCCTTCGCTTCTGCAAAAAATAATGTCAAATTGTTTTCTTAAAGGAAAAAACATGCAAGAGTCGTTCGGCAAAAAAACAGAATAAATTAAAAACTTATTAACACATACATCTAAACAAACCCCTTTGCAACAGAGGATTTAATTCACTAATTTTGTTTGAAACACCAATGTACGAATTTAAAGAGGTAAACGCAGGGGCATACCCTGGGCGAAATCATTGTACCCATCACCCCACCATAAGCCCCCTTTATGAAAGTTGAAAATTTAATTGGAAAAAAAAATATGATTTCGCATTCATGATAAAAGTTTTCAGATTCAGCTATAAGCCTCAAACTTGAGAATGAATGATCCCAAAATATTGTTGAAGCAGGGGCGCAATTCGGGTAGGGCAGGGTGGGGTATTTGCCACCCCCCCCCTTAATTTGCAGCTTTTATTTTAAATTCCTTTATACTGTGGCGTCTCCAGTTATAAGCAACCCAACAAACCGACAAGGTTTTAATTTTGCCCCCCCCCCAACACCCTGAAAAAACTTTAAATGATGCCCCTGTTTTGAAATCTATGATACTGTAATATTTTTTAAAATGTAGTTCTAATTGGTTAAACACGACAAGAGTCCAGTCTCATTGGTTTATCGTAATTGAAAATATTTTATGCAAATGTTTGTGTGTAGGATACACTGTTGAACTACACGCTGATGTTTTACTTTTCCAAATCCACATGAAGCCTTCATAAACTGATGCTTAAGTAAATGTCATCTTGTTGGTCTCCTTATTTTCACGTGTGCATCTGTAATGAATACCTCAATCGTTTATATGTGTAAAAATAGTTGAACCAAATCTGTTAATATCCGTTGAAACAACTACAAGATTCAAACCCAGAAATGTAGTTAGATAACAAATATACTATTGAAAGCAATTTAGGTTAAATGGACTCACTGTCTAAAATTTCCAATGACACGTGTTAATTAAGATATTCTAAAGCACAAATAAAACAATAACATACGATAGCACAAGAAAATTTTCTATTTTAAGTAATATAACATTTGGGGGTTGGTGTTTGGCGGTGGGGCTGAAAATTTGCTTCAGGTGTGTCTGGTACCTTAATAAATAAACTAGATATTAAATGGCTTGTCAAAAGTCAGTAATTATTATTATTATTATTGCTATCAAAGTGGTATTAAATAACGCGGTACCCCAGCCTAAGGTTAGGCTCACCACGCTTCACATAATAATTAACAAAAAGAACCAAAAAAAAAAATTAATAATAAACATGACAATAAAAAACAGTTACATCAGATTATTTATTTAAAAAAAAGCTTTTTAAAAACATCGACCTCGCCCATCCAAGAACTGTTTACCCCTGTGGAGCCATGGATGGCACCCAGCAGCATCGAGCATCGTTTATTGGTCAGAGAGGGGGGGGGTGTGGGGGTGAGAATGAGTCGGAATAGTAGAGTTTGTAGAGATGTGTATTGAGGGCCGTTTTGAAGGTTTGCATGGTCGGTATCCTGCGGATGTCTAATGGGTGAGTTTTGACCTCCCAAAGATTAACCGTTACTTTTGATAAGAAGTTTTGCATTGCTTACTGGTTTTCTAGATTCGTATACGTCACGAAATATTCGCACGCATAATATGTTTCCAGTAACTCGCAAACAAAAAAATGGGATTGTTTCGGAAAAAACAACAAAAGAAATACATATGATGATATATGTATCTTAATATGTGAATGTCTTACTGAAAATTAAAAAAAAAAGATATATTAGTTTCAGGATAACGGATAACGAAATAGTCCAATACCAACTACTCTGTTTATAAGGCTCTTAAAGTGCATCAATTCACATAGAAACAAGGGCTTCGTTTCGTGCATCTCCTCCGTTTTTGACCTCTTCATGCACTGCTCTTCGCCAGCTGGCTGTTTGCTCAGCAATCATCTCCCTTCTGTTGATTTCGATGCTGGCTTCTCTCATGCTTCTTTTTTCAAACTTCCATGAATCGCATCCATGGCCGTCCAATAAGTCTCCCCCTTCTGCCAACACTCCATACAGCAGATGCTTTGGAATACGTCCTTCCTCCACTTTCCTTACATGGCTTAACCAGCAAAGGAGCCTCTTGCTAAGAGCGGGATTATATTCTGTACCTTATTACACGTTCCAAGACCTCTTATGTTAGGTACCTTATTACACGTTCCAAGACCTCTTATGTTAGGTACCTTATTACACGTTCCAAGACCTCTTATGTTAGGTACCTAGTCCTGCCACCAAATGTGCAACAAAAAAAAAAGCGACGCAGAGTTCTTTGATGGAAGCTGTTGAGTCTCCGCTTATGTATAGAAGCATTAGTATTAGCCCATGTGTGTATTAATATAACTCATGTATATGAAAAGCAATTAGCGGCCCCAGATCGTTACCAAAGTAGCCTATGACAAATGTATCATTTGAAGAGCGAGTGGAAGCTGTACTCCCATCACGTCCGTCATTTTCACAGTGAGCTAATTTTTAGTAGCTTCTAGATACAGTATTATATTGCACAAACCTATGCATGCTGGCACCTAACAACTGATTTTAAAAAATAATAAATAAATAAATAAAAACCTAAAAACCATGCCCGGGGTATTATGCGATCGATTAATATTTTTCAGTAGCATCCACAAGAATACAATAGGAATTAAAGAAGGACATATTTATTTTAAAATGAAACGTTCAAAATCCTTTAAATTATCATAATAAGTAAAATGAACTGTGTTCAGATCGATAAGACCAAGCAAATATCCCGTCAAGTGAGCACAATTTTCATCACGTTCTTCACACGCAGATATGGTGTGCGCGCTCAGTAACCGAATGTGAATGGGGTCAAATTTTTTTATTAAATATTGCTGAGACGAGCGTCCATGTATTTTGCAAAGCCTTAACTTTAAGTAACATTTTTCACCGGACGTTTCTCTCATGATGCGCTGTACTATTCGGTATTTAAACGTACCCATTCTCTGAAGGATGGGTTTCATTTGAAAAAAAAAAAATAATAATTTCTATGATATTGTCAGCTTATTCGTAACAAAATTAAAAATTATATATTCTATTCCGTGTATAATGTATTTTATATAACTTTCATATTATCATTTTAGTATAATTTATTTGTAGAAATAATCGAACAAAACAGCTTTATCTAGCATTTAAAAAAAGTAAACGATGCTTATTTATATAGCTCAGGGCAGTGGCAGGTAACGATGATAGCACTAATAGCAGGTAATGATGATAGCACCATAGCAGGTAATGAAGATAGCACCAAGAGCAGGTAATGATGATAGCACCAAGAGCAGGTAATGATAATAGCACCAAGAGCAGGTAATGATGATAGCAC